GGTTCCATATGAAGTTTCAAGTGTTTTTTTCCAATTCTGTGAAGAAAGTCATTGGTAGCTTGATGGCGATAGCATTGAATCTATAAATTACTTGGGGCAGTATTTTCACAATATTGATTCTTTCTAACCATGAGCATGGAATGTTTTTCCATCTGTTTGTGTCTTCTCTTATTTCTTTAAGCAGTGGTTTTTAGTTCTTGAAGAGATCCTTCACATCCCTTGTTAGTTGTATTCCTAGGTATTTTATTCTTTTTGTAGCAATTGTGAATGGGAGTTCACTCATGATTTGGCTCTTTGTCTATTATTGATATATAGGAATGCTTGCAATGTTTGCACATTCATTTTGTGTCCTGAGACTTTGCTGAAGTTGCTTATCAGCTTAAGGAGATTTTGGGCTGAGATGATGGGGTTTTCTAAATATACAATCATGTCATCTGCAAACAGGAACAATTTCACATCCTTTTTTCCTATTTGAATACTGTTTTTTTTTTCTCTTGCCCGATGGCCCTAGCCAGAATTTCTACTATGTTGCTGAATAGGAGTGGTGAGAGAAGGTATCCTTGTTTTCAAAATGAATGCTTCCAGGTTTTGTCCATTCCGTATGATATTGGCTGTGGGTTGGCCATAAATAACTCTTATTATTTTGAGATATGATCCATCAATACCTAGTTTATTGGGAGTTTTTAGTATAAAGGGTTGAATTTTGTTGAAGGCCTTCTCTGCATCTATTGAGATAATCATGTGGATTTTGTCTTTGGTTCTGTTTATGTGATGGATTATGTTTATAGATTTGTGAATGTTGAACCAGCCTTGCATCCTTGGGATGCAGCTGACTTGATCATGATGTATAAGCTTTTTGATGTACCATTGGATTCAGTTTGCCAGTATTTTATTGAAGATTTTCGTGTCAGTGTTCATCATGGATATTGGCCTAAAATTTCCTTTTTAGTTGAATCTGTGCCAGGTTTTAGTATCAGGAATAGGAATGGGCAAAGACTTCATGACTAAAACACCAAAGGCAATGGCAACAAAGGCCAAAATAGACAAATGGGATCTATAAACTTAAGAGCTTCTGCACAGCAAAAGAAACTCTCAATAGAGTGAACCAGCAAACAACAGAATGGGAAAAAATGTTTGCAATCTACCATCTGACAAAGGGCTAATACCCAGAATCTATGGAGAACTTAAAACAAAATTACAAGAAAAAAACAACCCCATCAAAAAGTGAGCAAAGGATATGCACAGATACTTTTCGAAAGAAGACATCTGTGCAGCTAAAAACATATGAAAAAAAAGCTCATCATCACTGGTCATTAGAGAAATGCAAACAAAGGCACATTGAGATACCACTTCAGGCTAGTTAGAATGGCGATCATTAAAAAATCAGGAGACAGCAGATGCTGGAGAGAATGTGGAGAAATAGAAACACTTTTACACTGTTTTTGGGAATGTAAATTAATTCAACTACTGTGGAAAACAGTGTGGTGATTCCTCAAGGATCTAGAAATAGAAATACCATTTGACCCAGCAATCCCATTACTGCTTATATACCCAAAGGATTATAAATCATTCTATTATAAAGACACATGCACACGTATGTTTATTGTGGCACTGTTCACAATAGCAAAGACTTGGAACCAATCCAAATGCCCATCAGTGATAGACTAGATAAAGAAAATGTGGCACATATACACCATGGAATAGTATGCAGCCATAAAAATGGATGTGTTCATGTCTTTTTCAGGGACATGGATGAAACGGTAACCATCATTCTCAGCAAACTGACACAAGAACAGAAAACCAAACATGGCATGTTGTTACTAATAAGTGGGTGTTAGACAATAAGAACACACGGACACAGAGAAGGGAGCATCACACAATGGGGCCTGGTGGGTAGAAGGCTAGGGGAGGAATAGCAGTAGGTGGGTGGATTGGGGAGCATGAGGAGACATACTTAATATAGACAAAAGGGTGACAGATGCAGCAAACCACCATCATGGCATGTGTATACCTATGTAACATACCTGCACTATCTGCACATGTACCCCAGAACTTAAAGTATAATAAAATAAACAGTATGAGATATAGAGAATTAATTTAAGGTAGCAATCAGAAGTTATTTTACATCATTAGGACACATCATTTTCAGTCCTTGGATTGATATAATTAGAATTCTACTTGAAAAAGGAGAAACTTTGTCCCTATTTTATATTCTCAAAAATAATAAATAAATTTTTAAAAGCAGACACAAAACAGAAACTATAAATATTAGAGTATTAAAAAACTTCAGAAACCATAAAGAATAAAATTGACAGATTTGATCTTATAAATATTTTTAAATTTGTGTGGTTAAAGATACCATTAACAAAGTTAGAAGGGAAAATTGGGAAAAACATTTACAACCTAACTGAAAAGAAAAACGTTTAATACTCTTGGTATATAAAAAAGGTACAGTAAAACAAAATATACAAAAAAACCAACAACCTAGAAAAAAAATAGGCAATCCATAATAAACCAACAATTTACCTAAGAAATGCAATGACTAATAACCATGATAAAAACAAACATTTAAAATGCAAATTAAAACAATAGTTTTTTTTCTTACATTTGCCAAATGTGCAAAAATAATTATACTTTATTAGCATCAGCTTTTTGGAGTAGTTTATTTATAAAATTGAATGCTATTCACATGTGAAATAGAGTGATATATATGAGTATGTGCTTACTTATAAAGACAGTTAGTGATATATGCTTTATTACAAAGTAGTGTATACAATTTCATTGTTAGGAAACTAAAATAAATCTGTACATATGTTTATATACATATATAATATATATAATATGAAAATATATAGTCTCTATATATAGTATTATATATAGACTATATATAGTTTTACATATAGTATATATAGTACATATATAATACTTATATAATATACTACAAATATATGCTATACATTATATATTATAAATGTACTATATATTATATATTATAATACTATATATTATATTATATATATTATACTATCTACTATATATAGTATTATATATACTGTATATATATGGTATACATATAGTATATATATAGTATATATATAAACACTGTAGTATTCAATACAAACAATCCAGAAGAATTATATATATAGTATATACAGTTATATATACTATATAGTATTATATACTATATGTATTATAGTATTATAGTATATATATTATAATATATATTACATATAATATATAATGCTATGTATTATATTGTATATATGGCATTATATATAGTATATATAATATATAGTATAATAGTATACTATATAATAGTATATATATTATAAACTATATATACTATATATAATGCTATATATTATATACTATATACTATATATTATACACTATAAATATATATAGACTATAGACTACATGTATAAATATATAATCTTTATATAAATATATAGATAGACCATATATAAATATTTATATATATAAATATTTGTATGTTTTATATATATATTTATATATATAAATAAATAAACATATATATATATAAAGCATTTTTTCTTAGTGTTATATACATTTAAAACATTACCACAAAGTTATTCTAAGTAACTTTTTTGTTGCCCTTTTTAACATAGTAAACATCGCTTTTATAATCATAAATAGTAGGTTGGTACAATTACCTTTGTGTTTGTGTTTATGTGCAAAAGTAATTGCACCAAACTAAATATAGTGGTTTCAAATGTCATTTGTAAATTGTGAAATTATATTCCTATTATTAATTTTAGTAATTATATCCCTATTATGTATCGCATATTACTCAGAGTTTATAAAAATTTTACAAGGTTATTATAATTATTACTCATAGTGGAAAAAAATAAAAAGAAATACCCATTGTAGAACATAAATACATTTCTTCAATCATAGCATATATATTTTAGAGACTGTTACATAATAAAATGTGTTCATGATATTGAAACATAAACTTAAGACAGCAAATATCCACAGATTCAGTGTTAATCCCTTTATGTGTATATAAATTTATATTAGTCACTGATAAGAACTAAAATAATGGCACATGTATAGAAAAAGCTCTTGAGGGTAATATCCCAAGGAGAAAAGTTATTCTGTTTGGAGAGGAAAAGGAACTGGAATAAGTGTGATTGTCAAAGGAATTACTTGTCTTAACTATAATTGTGTTTAATAATAAAAATGTTTACAAAAATTTTAATGCTTTAAAGAGGGAGATAGAAATATTTTACAATTGATTCTGGTAGTGTTCATATGACTGTTTTTGTTAGCACTCATAGCACTGTACACTAAAAAGGGTGAATTTTACTGTACTTAAATTTTAAAACAACTTTAGAAAAGAATATACAGAATATTGTAAATATATGGTATTTTAAATCATAGGGCTTTAACTGTAAAATTTTTATAAAAACTCTTGAAATCTATTTCCAAAATATATCCTTTTATCTTGTTAAACCAGATGGCACAAACTTAGAAATGTTTATTGAATGTTCTTTTCCTTAGCATGAGGTAATCACACATTCAGTCCTGTGTACAATTTATGAGAACTAAATTTCATGAGAATAAAAACATGTTGATTAATTAACAGATTATCATATTTCAATTACCAGCTTCTATTTCTAAGCAGTCCAATCTACTGTACAAAACAGGGTGCTCATTTTCCTCTGTTTTTTTTTTTTTCCCTGGATAGCATAGTCATGGACCTTTAAAATTCCCTATCAAGGTTACTTAATATTTTTTCTTTACAACAGCTGATGGTGTTGCAAATGAGGACACAATGAGCTTCTCAGTTGCTTTAGGAAGAAATACAGTTTTGATTAGTAAGATACATAATAAATACATTGTAAAATTTAATATTAGAAGTAATATGTTCTTAGCAGATACTCAATTTTTCAGCCAAGTATCCTTGGTCCATACTGGAGTTCACCAATGGCTCTAGTGGACTGTTGCCCTATAAATGAGCTGCATTTTCTTCCTACCTCAAGAAACTGAGTCTGTCAGCCTGGGTTCTTTGGCCAGATTGTTTGTCCAGCACAAGAGGGTGGCCAGAAATGCTAATGAACTAACTTACAAAGTGACCTTCAAAAATGAAGGACAGGAGAGTGTAGAATATTGTAGGGTTCTAACCCATTATGAGGTAACTCTGAGGTGTGTTTAAGTACATAGCCACTTGGATGATTCCCAAAAAGATTGGCCACAGTTGCCCATGAACTAACTGCTCACTAATGTATTATATATCCTGTATTCTACATTCTTTCTTTTCCATTTCATTGTCCTTCCTCACTGTGCTTCCTGGGATCACTCAGCACCCCAAACAAAAACAAAAACAAAACTCATTCAGATTCTGTCTCAGGATTTGGTTTTGGGTGAATCTAAACCCAGATAATGTACATAGAGATTTCTCAGATGCCCTTTATACATAAGAAAGACTTAGATCATAGCAGGGTGATGTCAGATAAAGAGATGCAGAAGCTGGTATTCTAGTCAGACCAGCTTGAGTTGAAATAGTACAGCCAAGGGGTTGCAAATGGGACACCGACTCTCTCTGCTACCAGAAGTGAGAGAAATTAGCTGAATGATAATAATGAGTGCAAGGCCATGTAGCAATATTGCAATTAAATTGTAGCTGGATCCTAATAACCATTTCCACTTTAAACAAATTAGAGGTTAAAGCATCTCAGTGTCAGTCATGTAGCTACACATTTATGACTGGTTACCTTACCATTTTCTTCTATTTTTATCACCTGCAGAAATGTATTTCTTAGACACTGGTTTCTTTTCCTTGAAATAGGTTCCAAGCTAGATAAACTGTTTTTCTACTTAGTTTTGGGACCCCAAATCAGAAAGGAATCACAGAATCTTAGAATGGGCAAGGACTTTAGAGGCCAACTATTTCAACACACTTATGTCATGCATAAATATTTATACAATATGTATAGAAATTTCCTTATACCATAACACAAGATTTGAGACTAGAACAAACATTTGAATCTCCTACAAAAATAAACTTTGTTATCAACATCCTATGTACTTTTTGTTTTTGTTCCTGATTTTTGTAGCATATCTAGTATATTCTTGGATATTAATTAAGAGACATAAAAATGTGCATTAATATATTATCCATGACTGCCAAGAAAATTCAAAGAATGATACATATATATATATTGCTATGTGATATTACTATCAATTATTAATGAGAATTATTAATTAGACTATCCCTTATAGCTTGCCATTTCTAATCCCTTTATGTGATTGGTTGAGAAAGAAGCAAGTTAGGAGAAACATCATATTCTTTTAAATCAAACACAATGTGCTTCGGACATCTATCCCACCTGTCTTTATTCAATTGTAGTCATTATTAGGGTCTTGTTACATAGCTTTAAAGCACCAAGTAGGCCCCTTATTTTGCCCTCTTATTTATGCTAGTAACAGGGCACTCAAAGACCAAACTTAAAGAAAGCCTTGATTTCATACACTTACTTTTTTCTTTCATATACTTGGTGGGTTAGAATATATGGTGATCAGGAATTCAGATGCTTAGCATACAACTCTGTTTTTCTAAAACATTGTGCTAGAAGTCAGAGACATCACATCCAATCACTTCAAATTTGTACGTGACAGATCCCCTGCCTTCTGTCTCCCTGGGTGCTTCATGGGAGTGGACTCAGGGTCCTTGCTGCTTCAAAGAACTACCAAACACTCTCCTAGGATCACTCTTAGAGTATGCCTATTTTCACGCTCTGTTCTTCTGCCTGTCCTTTCTCCAACTGGTAAAATCTTCTCCAGGATATCAGACCATAAAAACACAAAAGCCCTGAGAAAAGTAACTGCTCCCCACAGTAAAAGCCATCTTGGTACAAGGGAAAATAAAGAACTGGATCCCTTGGGAAGCAGTGGGGGAGTACAGGGGAGAAGTACTTTGTGAACAATATAAATTGACAATTTTTTCATAAATGAACTATTGAAGGTCAGATTTCTCAGGTAGTAGACCCTGAGGTGCTGGATATACTTTAGAGGCTGATCTCAAGATTAACAGCTGTGGAAATGGGAAGAAAGAGGGATTAGACAAAGGGAGAAACTGGGTAGTCACCAAGACTCAACTGATTCCACAGAGCAGCCTGAAACTGGGTGTCCCTTCAGAGTTGTCCACAGCTTGGGAGAGAGGATTGAACCATTATATTTTTTCATTGACCATTTATTTATTCATTGAATGCAAGCTGTCCCTGTAAGGGCCACGGCCATGGGCAAAGCAGCTCTTTTTGGCCATTGGCAATTCCCGGGAGGAACTAACAGGAATTAGTTAGGCCTGACAACAGGCAGTTCTCACCAATGCAGGGATCCTGGTAGCACAACCTCGTGTCCATTTCAGTTCATGTACTTCTTCATATAACTTGAGCAGTGGCTCCAGTATCCTGCTGTCTCTTTTCCTGGGGGAAATGTTGAAAAGAGAGGTTAGTGGTACAAACTATAATCACCATGACCAAAGCAAATCTCAGAGCATCAGCTAATACGTATTCTCTCCCTCTACTTTCCACTCTAGCTTCCCTTCACTCTCAGAATCTTGCTATTCTAGATGACTGACCTGGTCGGGGAATCCAGATCCTCATTACTGAGAGCTCTGAGTCCTTGTCATGTTTTTTTTTTTTTTTTCTGGCTCCTGAACCTTTTAATTTAATTTAAATTCAAGATTGAGCAAAGAAATACCAAGTTGCTTAGATGGTTCACATGAAAGACAAACAATTCCTCCCCGCCCTCCTTGGGAACCAGAACTCTCCCTTCTCCTGATACCCAGAGTCACTTATCCCTGCCAACATAGTGACTCTTGCTCTTGCCCACTAACCCTTGGCTCAAAGATCCCAAAATGTGAGGAAGGCAGCTGTAAAGTTCAGTGGAAATCTTGCTGTGCTCCAGTTTTCCTTTCATAACCATGACTCCTAAACCTGTAAACCTCAGACTACCAGGACTATGCATATACATAGATAGGTATTGAAAGAGTTATAGATACATGCTTATGACTGAAGTCATTTATATAAACAATCTATGTATAAACTTAGATTTTATGTCTACATATATTTATAAATAGGGTTATATGTAAAATTATACATACCTATATATCTGTAATGATATATATTTCATAGCTCTATTTTCTAAGAGAAATTATGAGCAAAGATGTCTTAGTGTTAATGTACACACCAAGCATTCATTTAGTTTCTAGAAACAAACATACACTAAAAGAAAACACTAGTTCTTTGGAGAAATGGCTGATTATATGGCTGGGACAGGTGAGAATATAACATGAGCATTAAGATAAATGCATAACAAGTTATTATGCCAGTGAGTAAGCAAATGCTTGAAGGATGGTGGAGCCTGGCAAAAGCATGCCTTGAGCTGCTGCTGCTCACAACACTTCTGACACCAAAATGTGTGGGATTTTTTTTCGCAGTAACAACCAGTTCTCCAAGTCTCTGACACCAAGTAGATGTTCTGGAATTCAATTTGATTGGAACACTAACACCCAGAGTTAGTGTTAGTCTATATAGTTTTAAGTGTTCCGTCCCATGAGGCTGCCCTTGCTTCTGATGTACAAGGTGCCCAGCATGCCCATACTTCTGTGTGACTTGACTACCAAGTAGTTTCCCATGCTCATCCCACACCCAGGTTCAATAATTTGCTAGAATGATTCACAGAACTTAGGAAAGCATATTATTTACGTTACTGATTTATAAAGGATATAGCTCAAGAACAGCCAAATGGAAGAGATTCATAGGGCATGCTATGGGGGTGTGGGGCATGTGTGGAGCTTCCACACCTCCTCTGGGCTTACCCTTCTAGCAGCTTAATGTGTTACTCAACCCAGAAGCTTCTTAAATCCTGGCATTTAGAGTTTTACATGAAGAACCCGTTTTGTAGGTATGATTGATTAAATCATTGGTTATTGATGACTGGCTCCATTTTCAGTCCCTCTCCCTCCATGGAGGTCTGGCAGTGAGACTGAAATTGTCAACTTCCTAATCATGTGGTTGGTTCCCTCTGCAACCAGCCACTGTCCTGAAGTTTTCTAGGGGGCCATCAATAGGCGTCTTATTAGCATAGACTCAGATATGGTTGAAAGGGGCTTGTTGTGAATAAAAAAAGAATCTTTTAGCACCTCTATCACCTATAAAAATTATAAGGGTTTTATAAGCTCTGTCTCAAGAACCTGGGACAAAGACAAAATACATGTTTTGTAGTCTATCACAGATGTAAACTCTAAGGGGCTCCCTTCACCAAATCCATGACAATTTCAGCATCAGAATAAATCAGAAGAATATTATAACTCAATAAAGTAGAAATAGAATACTCCATACTTATATAAATACACAAGTTTATCTCTTTTTAAGAGAAAAACTCCTTAGAATACAGCACCAACTAATAAATATAGAAGAAAAGATGAAATAGATGGTTTGGTCACTATGATAATGGTAGTCAACACATACAGGAGTCATTGATTGATGTAAAGGGTGGTGAATAGGTGTTAGGTAAATGGAATATTTATGTAATGTAACTGGAATACTTCCTCACAATATAGTAACAAAAACAAAGGGAGAAAATTTTACAGTGGGTAACACTGAAAACGTCACTCCCACCCAATTCTCAGACTCCACTGGAATTCACAAGTTCCCCAACAACATCTCTTTATCTTTGCTAATCCACCCACCTATCCAAAACTGGGTTTATAAAGAAGAAACCTGATAGTTACCAAGTTTACCACGTCATCAATTGTAATATCATTAGTAGTGGACCATTGTCAGAATGTGCCTCCTGATACGATGCCAGGAACACATGGCCTGAGTCTGGTCATGAGGAAACATCAGACAGACACAGGTTGAAGGTCATCCTACAGCATTCAGGGCCTGTACTCTTTACGACTGCCCAAAGACAGGAGAAGTAAGAAAGGGCTAACAAGCTTGAAGGAGTCTGATGAGACGTGACAGCTAAATTCAGTATATATTCTTGGATGGTTTACTGGACCAAAAAGGTTAGAGGGATATTGTTAGGGAACCTGGCAAACTTTGAGTGGAAACTATGAGCTGGGTAGTAGTGTTATGTTAAT